ATGCACACGATAGATGTGTAAAAAATAAATGACGATGATAGAAGGCATAACCAGCTCCCTAGCAGGTGAAAACTTGAACACTCAGAACCAGACACTTCGGACTTCGAGATGGAGGGGAACAGGGCTAAGTAATTTTAGAAACAATGTGTAAATCTCTGCGCTGCTTAGAATACTCCAAAAAGCAGCAGATTATAAATTGCATGGTGGAGTTTGTCAGGATGAAGGGACGTTGCGCCTTGCAACGCACGTTGCTCGTCTCTGACAGGCCTTGCCGGAGCCTCGCTTTCTCCAGCTCTTGCGAATCCCACCAGATCAGCTCTCCGTCCCGTGTCCCGAGTCTGGCTTCCCCGAGGTCGAGCCTCGTTGGAGATGTTGAAAGTTGGCCTGCCCATTCTCTTTCTCTCTCTGAAGATTTTAATTGCTAGGTATTAAAAACACCCATGTAATGTATATTCCATCTGAGAGTCCGGTTTTCTAAACTTCCTGTAATGCAATCTGCACGGAAAGATTGGACTATGGATGAGTGGGGGTTGCGCTGCTGGGAGGAAGGCTGAGGGGGCGTGGCTGGTGGGGGTAGATTTGGATTGATTTTGGTGGATTTGGAGAATAGCTGCCTTCCTAGTGACTTATCACGAAACAAATGTTAGTAGTGTGGGCACACTGGGCCAAAAAAATCTATGAAATCTTATGATTCTCTCCTTGGTATCACCCCTAAAATTCACAGTCACCATAGTTTACTGACTATGTGCCCCAGACTTTACATACATTATGTTGCCTGCAACAACCCCAGAAGGCAGGTGGCGTTGTGCCCATTTACAGGTAAGGAAGCTGAGGTTCAGAAAGGTTAAATGCTTGTCTAAGGCCACAACACCAGCTGTGAAGCTGGGGTTCGAATCCAGGTCCCTTTAACTCCAGAGCTGTACTCTCTTGATGGCGCCCTCAGCTGTCCGCTAGGAGCCAGGCTCTTTTTGGGCATGACCTTCTGGTTTGTAGCCATGGAACCCACCAGCCTCTTTCTTCAGTTGCTGGAAGCAAATCTCATAAACGTGGTCATCTGTGAGAAGAAGAGGGTGAGGAGTGACCTGGCCTGCTGTCTGGTGGCAGTCAATTCCACCAACATCAGATAAACAGCTACATGCACAGGCAGGGCTCTCGGCCCTTACTCTTACGGCGCTGGCCATAAACACATTCACTGCTCGCCTGCACCTGCTAGGTGGGATGTTGACAGCACAGTGTGCTTTTACAAAGTGTCTTGTGTTCGAGGCTGCGCAACATATCAGAAAGGGCACAGAATTTGAACTCAAAATGCCTGGATTGGAATCTTGTTCTCCCACCCACCAGATTTGTGATGCTAAGCAGATCCTTTTTCCCCTCTGAGTCTTGGGTTCCTCATCTGGGCCTTGAAGATCAAGGACAGCCATCTCATAGAGCTGTTGCAAGGGTTAAATGCTATAATGTATGTGAACGGGCCAGTGCAGTGCCTGGCACACAGTCGTTGCTTTAAAGATGCTTATGGAACTCTGAGTCTTTGGTGCTTTACTATTTTCAAAGCTTGCTCTGTCCAACATCTCACCCATGCTTCTGTGGCATAGACAGGTTGGCCTAGGCCTCTTGAACTCCCCTGTAGGCCACCTTCCAAGCCCACAGGGCTGAGCTCCAAGCAGTGAGGGACTGGGTGTGTTCCTATGTCACCTCTCAACTGTGAGCTCGTCAGACCAGGAGGACTGCGGCCTAGGGTGAGAGATGGAACCGCCATCCTTTATTCAGTGGCCCAGGCTGCTCTGTGACCCTGGCTGGCCACATGTGAAACTTTTATCCTTTGGCCAGCATTTCGTAATCGGCACCATTTGTACAAACATTCCAAGAAACAATTGTTTGTACAGGCTCATAAATTTGTGGGACAGTTTACATATGGAGCCCAATTAAATGATGACCTTCTGGCGCTCAGGACCCATTCCAGGCCCTTCCCTGTGGTCATGATTTTCTGGGCCTGAGGCTGTGATGGTCCTGCTTTGGCCCTCTTGACTCTTTCCCCAACCCCTCTCTGGGGCCTTTCATGATAGATAGTCCTCAACCCACAGTTTTCTCTCTTGAGTCTTCCCAAGCAAGAGCTCCTCAGGCCCCTGCCTCAGCCTTCTGTCTTTGGTGGATAACTCCCAGATCTGCCCCAATGCCTAACCCTGCTTCCTGCTTGCAGAATAATAATCAGTATGAATTCTGTCCTTCTGCACACATTCCCTGAGCTCCCACTATGGCTATCGCTGGGGATTCAGGGTGAACAAGATAGATGAAGCCCTGGACAGGAGGAACAAACAAGTAAAACAAAGAAATAACTCATAAAATTCCAGGTAGACAGAGAATGAATCGTCAAACCAAATGGTCAGGAAGTGGAGAAACTGGGCTGTTGGTTTGTCGCATAACTGAGAGCTAGTGAGCACCATCTCTGGTGGGCCGGCTCTGAGGAGAGGTAAGTAGGCTAAGAGGTCAGTGGGGAGGGCTGGGAAATGGTGAGGGAAGGCTCCTCTGGGGACGGGACCACCGAACAGACCCTGCATACTGAGAAAGAGCTGGAAGATCCTGGCAAAAGGAAGCAAGACATACAAGAGGCTCTGAGGTGGGAGCAAGCGAGCATGGTGTTTTAGGAAGGGCCACTATTTATTGTGTGTTAATATATGCCAGGCAGTCTGCGTGGTTCTTACAGGCAGTGTCTTCACGGATGCTCTGAGGAGAGTGATGACAGTGTTCCTCCCAACTACTCAAGATCAAAGAGCAACTCTGGGCTCGTTCCCCTTTTTAAGGATGAGGAAGCTGAGACGTGGGAGGCTGAGTAACTTGTCCAGGGCGTCTGGACCATGGAGGTGGTGGATCGGGCACTTCACCAGGCTCGCCGGACCCCAGGACCTCTGTCCTCTAGTGCTCATGGCACCACACCGCCTCCTTTCCACCCCACTCTGTCATTCTGATTAAACCTCACCTCTTGCCTTTCCTACACTCGCTTCCAAGGAGGCACCCTCCCGTGCCTTAGGCGTCAGAGCCCCTCCAAGCCTGCTCTGGCTTGTCCCCACCTTGCCCCCAGCACCTGGCCAGGTCTTTCTCAGTATTTCCCCTCTGTCCCTTCCCAGCTGCCGTTTCATCTGTCCCCAGAGCCTCAGGCTGGTTTCTACCTGTTTTGTCTGCTCACCTCTCGCAGAATTGTCCTCATCTGTGACTTCCTCACCACCCTGGAGTGAAGCCGTCAGTGAATTTTGATGCTCTGAATTTCAAAAGAGATCAGGTATTTTAAACCTTATCAGTGATATTAAGAATGACCCCTTGAATTTGAGGAGGACACTGCAGTGAACAAGACATTCACTGTTGATGTGCGGCCTGAAGAGAGTCCTGTGCCTGTAAATAGCAGAAGCAGTGGGGGATGATTTTGAATTTGGGTGTTGCTGATGGCATTGCAGTAAGAGAGGAATGGGGATTTTAATGCCTATGGGTGGGGTGTGGGGCAGAGGGGGAGGAGCAAGCTCTGGCGAGGACGCGGGTTTGACACTGTGCGGGGGAACAAATACTGGAGTTCAGTCTCAGCTAACTGTAACTTTTCTGTTGTATCTATTCTATGCATCTACTAATAATGAGGGACAAATACTCAGCACAGTGCTGTGCACCTGGAAGATGCTAATACAGCGTTACTTCCCTCCCCACGTCCTGGTCCCACCCCCAGCAGCTCCATGCCCAGCAGGTTGACCAGGTCTCCTGAATATGGGTTTACTTTCAAGTTGCTCTGCCGGAGAAAATGATATTTAAGTGAAGCTAAAAAAATAAATAATGATGACAAGTGATAGTAGAGGAGGGAATACAGTAAACTCTTGACCAGAATGCCTGGGGAATGAAGAGTCTGGATTAGTGTTTTCCAGACTCTCTCTGTTTAAGCCTTTGAGTTGATGGTGGAGAATCAGGCTAGGAAGGTAGTGTAGGGTATGGCTGAGGGCATAAGCTTTGCCAGCTGGGTTCCAAGTCCTGGCTGTGCCAATTCCTAGCCGTGTGGAGCAGGTAATTTAATCTCTCCAAGCCTCAATTTTCTCATCTGTAAAATGGATGTAATAATAATTTCTTCCAGGAATCTCCTGCTATATAACAAACCATCTCAACACAAGGACTTAAAGCAATGACAACATTTGTCTTGCTCACAAATCTATAATTTGGGCAGGGGTCAGTGGGCGTGGTTTCCTTTGCTCTGTTCAGGATCGACGCGGGTGGCTGGAAGCTGGGATCAGCTGAAGTTTCACCCACCCACTCACTTATCGGGCAGTTGATGCTGGTAGCCAGCGGGGGTCTAGCTGGGCTGCATGTGGCCTCTCCATGTAGCTTGGGCTTCATCATCGCCTGGTGGCTGGATCCAAGGGGCAGAATCCTGAGAGATGGTGCGCGCGCCGGGTGGAAGATGTATTGCCTTGTCTCAGAGTTCACTCAGTACCGCTTGCTCCCTTTCGTTCAGTAGAAGTGAGTCTAGAAGGCTGGCCGTAGAAAGGGGAGGGAGATTAGACTCCACCTTTTGCTGGGAGGAGTGGAAAATAATTTGCAGCCCTACGTAAAACCACCACCTAGTTCCTCCCCCGTCAGGGCCGTGGTGAGGACTGAATGTGATCTGGCAGTAACCAGGTGCTTGCCTGGCACAAAGGTAGAACCACGACAGCCTGGTGAAGTGTATCATCTTTCTAGTTTGCAGTTGAAGACCTGAGGCCCTGAGAGGTTCAGTGACTTGCCCGGATTCCCAGCGAGCGCCAGAGCAGGGATTGTACTGTTGCGTGCGGGACTCCACGTGGCTCCTCCAGAGATGAGCGATGGCACTGGCCTCACCGGGCATTGTTTGCACGTGGTGCCTTTGTGACATATGCTGGGCCAGTAGTTACAGGAGAATGGTCTGTGAATTGGGTACTCTAACCTCAGCAGTGTGAGGTCATCCTTCCCCATCTCCCAGAATGTCCATCCTTCTTTCCTCTTTGAAAAGGTAGCTGGGGGTTGATTAGGTGGGACGGTAATATTTGCTGTGCCCTGTGCATCCTGCTGTGGGATTGATGCAGCGAAACAGTCAGTTCCATCTTTCCCAGGTTGTCGTCCAGAAGGCCTTGGATATCATATTCAGACAGGCCTGTATGTCATATTCCCCCACCGCGCCCGGTCCCCAGGTACCTTGGGAGGCATCTGAAATCTGCTGGCTCGCCCTGGAAGCTTCTGTTCCCCACATCAACCCTTAACTAGACTGGGCTGATCTGTGGCTTTAAAACACTTCCATCCTGCTCCACTCGCTGCGCTCCGTTGGTGTAGAGAGGGAGGTGTGGATCCCTTTGTCTGTTTACAGGGCTTGTAAAATAGGAGCTATATCTGTAGCATGAAATTATATGTGTCAATAAGGTAGAATGTTTTTTGGAAAAAGAAAACCTGACAAAACGTGTTTTAATTTTGCAGTGGGGATCATATCAGCTGTCAAATTAAAATCTGTTCCTCCTCCTCGAAATGAAAAGTCCCTTTTGTAGATAAAAACCTGAGGAAGCAGCCGATGTAATTGGACCGCCACCTCCAGGCTTTTTAATTTGAGTTTCCCTTCTTATTCTCCTTCCTGTGTGTCAGGTTATTTGTCTTTCCCAGGACCAATTTGCTGGCTTAAAATTTGAAATGTTCTGAATTCAGAGCTATTTTGCTCCATATTATTATTTCTGTTTTAAAGAGAATTGATAACCTAAAGGGTTTTTCTTTTTAAAGTCAAATCCCACTTGTGAAGTGTGAAACTCCCGGAGACCATTGTGTCGGCAACGCCTCCTTCCGCTCGGACTGAGCGGCCCCGAGCTTTTCTGGAGGCAGCCGTGTTGCGGATCTGCTTTATGGGGGGGTGGGGGGCAGGGGGCCCGGCAGAGTGAAGCAGGAGGTCGAAGGTCACATCTGAGGTCTCCTGGAGGCTGAACTCCAGACCAGCCAGTGACTGTGTCACAGCCAGGGAAGTAGCAGGGTCCTCTTAGCATTCTGCGGGCTTTGCACAATGGCACCTCAGGATTTTACTGCTTGGGGATAACTTTGGGTGCTGGGAAAGAAGCTATTTTCCATTTTCTTTCTATTTTCCTTTAAGCTGTAGATATTGCTTTTCTAATGGGAAAGAAAACCTCTGATTTAAACACAGAACCGCAACCCCCAAAGAATTCCTGTTTAGAGTGACTGTTTCCAGGCTCGTTGGGCGCTCACTCATCCGTTCCTTTAGCCAGTATTTTCTGAGGCACCTACTATGTTCCAGGCACATGCTAAGTAGCCATGGCCCTTGTCCACACGGAGCTTAGAACCTGTGGGATGACAGCAGGAGTCACAGGGGCTCAGAGAAATGGAACATCCAGACAGCACGTGGTGCCACTGGACGGTAGGAAGGAGAGTCCACCCAGGAGGAAGGTATGACAAGGCTTCCCGAGCTGAAGTCTGCAGACGGAGTAGGAGTTAGCTGATGAAAGAGGAGGGAAGAGTGTTCCAGGCAGAGGGAACAGCATGGGCAAAAGCCCAGCGTCAAGGGGAAGTGAAGGCATGAGGGCCTGAAAGAGGCTCGGGGAGGCTGGGATGGAGCCGTTGAACTAGGCAGTAGGAGAGGCAGCAGGGCCTGCTCCGCCCAGGGCTGCAGACCCCATGCAGGAAGGTCGTCTTTGTCTGAGAACAGTAGTAGGGGGCCTGAGGCCACCTGCACTGCATGTGGATGGAGCAGCATGTAAGCCTGTAAGGGCAAAAATGCAGGAAGCTGCTAAGTCCTGCTCGTCGGAGGCCGACCTTTGCCAGCCTGTAAAACAGGAAAAGAAGCTGGTTCTGTTGACATGGGGGTGTGAACAGCTGTCCTGTCTTTGGGTTCACACAGGATCTTGAAGTCTGCAGCTGCTGCGCTTTGGGATCAGCGGGGAGGAGCGAGGCTGTGTTTCCATGCACACACCTGTGCGTGAGTGTGTGCCCGTGTGTATGTCTGTGTAGACGTGAGGCCATGTCTGCACCCGAGTGGGCGTGTTCCTGGTCGTCGGCATGCAGACATTCCTGGGAGAGGAGAGGAAGCCCCCGCCAGATAGACCGACCCTCTGCTCCCTTGGACAGCCGCCCGTCATTTGTTTGGTGCACATTCATTCAGTGAGGGCCCCCTCTGTGCCAGGACCCTGGGACGGGAAGAGGATTCTTACTTCTGACAAAGCCACCGCAGGCAGGGTCCAGTCTGTGGAGGATGTCCAGACAGGGTTCAGGCCGCCTCTTGGCAGGGATGGCTGCCTCCAGCTCCCCTTTGCTCGGCAGCAGGTGCATCTGCCCAGGACCTGCCCCGGGAGGCCCCATCTTTGCAGGAGTGGAGGAGCCCCTGACTGGCTGCACAGGGGCTGGACCCTGAAGCTCTGCTGACAGACCCCTGTGCTGGGGTCGGAGAGGGGGCGCTGAGGCCCCTGCAGATCTCATTTAGAGGAAAACCCAGCACACCCACCGCTTTGGTTTTTATTTCAGCCTCTGTCCTGATGCTGTCTCCCTTCCCACCTCTCTCTTTTTGGTTCCTGTTCCTGTTTGCACCCCTCCTCCACCCCTTCACCCCCAAAGTGCTCCTGTAACAGAACTCAGTCTCGTTTCCCACCCTGTCGCAGCCCCGCCACACTGACCCAGATTCACGGTTCCCCACAGTGCTGTAAGTTGGGAGAGTTTTGAGTTGACCTCAGGCAGGAATTGAGAGTGTCCTCATCTGTGTGATGGGTAAAAATACTCACGTCCTGGAGTTCTGCGAGGATTATCTGGGATAATGCCCTGCCTGGCATGTTCCTAATAAATCCCTAACACAGTCATGCGTCTCTTAATGACGGGGATACGTTCTAAGAAATGCGTCACTGGGTGATTTTTCGTTGTGTGACCCCCATAGCATGCACCTGCACAAACCCAGGTGGTACAGCCTACTAAACACTGAGGCCATAAGGTACTAATCTTATGGGACCACCATTGTATATGTGGTCTGTCGTTGACTGAAACGTCGTTGTACAGCGCATGACTGTAAACAATGTGGTTATTATGAAGGACCAATCTCGGCAGCCTAGTACAGGAGAAAGAGAGTGCTTTCCAGTCAGTAGAACAACTGGTATTTATTAAGCACCTTCTTCTACTTCTAGCTAACATTCAAGCACTTTCTATGAGCTGGGCACTGGATGGAGCAGCCCTGGGACACAACAGAAGTGCGATAACATAGAGGCAGGACTCAAACCCATGCCATAGCCCAACAGTGGGGCCTGTGGCACACATGAGACCAGGACTCAGCCCCAGAGGCGTCTGTGTTAGGTTGGTGTGTCATGTATCACCACCAAGGTGCAACCTCTGAGGTTGCGTTTTCACTGCGTCTTCTGTGAAGACACACGCATTATTCAGAACACTTGGTCGGTGTTGCTCTGCTCCCGTCCAGGGCTCACCCACGGGGAGAGCTGTGAGGCCTGCAGGGTCTCCAGAGGAGGCTGGTGTTCCTTTCTTCCCAGGGCAACTCACCTGCGGGGGCTGCACTGCGCTTTCCGCCAGCACACCCCTTCTGCTGTTCACCGAGGAGAAGAATTGGGCTAATGTTAGGTTGAGGGTGGCCTGTGGGGCCTGCATTTCGTGTTTGGAGTGGGATCCAAACTCTCATGTGGCAATGAATGCTGTGTGATGCTACGCTCATTTCGACTCCAGCGGAGCTCTCCGTGAGAGCAGAATCTTCTCTTTGGAAAAGAATTCAAATCGTCCGAGCAGATCGTCCTCCGCTGATGGTTGGGCTGCTGCACCTGGACATGGGGACACTGGAGTCTCTTAAAGCGGGGCTCCTGTGTCTTCACTGGAAGCTGCCTCCTGTTTCTGTGGGGAACATGGAGGGGTGAGGGAGTGAGGAGTGTGTTTGTCCCCTGTGCTTCTCTGTGGCTCGGGCCCCTGGTGAAGTGTGTGAGGGATGGGTGGCCCTGACTACGTCCTTCAGATACCGCTGATGGAACCAGTGATGGTTGGCATGGCAACGAGAAGTTTCAGAGGACTGTGGGCACTATTCCTAGATACTTAAAAGTCCCCATAAAAAGGAAAGCAGACGTGTTTGGGTTGCCCAAAGGGCTGAACTAGGGCTATGGGTGGGCAGGTGTCTGTTCAATTGAAGGAGGAACTCTGACCACCAGAGCTATTGAAAAGGGGACAGAAGCTTCCGGACGTAATGATCTGTCTTGGTCCTGGAGGTACACGAGTCAAGACTGGGTGACCAGCTGGCAAGGCTCTTGTAGAGACAGTTGACTTCTCTGAGGGGGGTGTGTGTGTGTGTGTCTGTGTCTGTGTGTGTAGGGGTACTGCACTCCTGTCTGCCTCCTGAGAGGGGGCTGTGGACTACTGACCCCTCACGTGCCAAACTGTCACAGTGGTTACCTCTCATGTGTGTTTGGGGGTGGGTGGGGGAACACACTGTCTCACATTTTATTGTTACTTATGCGTGTTTAGTTTGAATTCGTTGCAACAAGCATGTATTGATTTTATAATAAAAATAGATTAAAATTGCACCTTGAATCAAAATTGCCTCTGAATTCTATGTCACTGAAGAAGGATCAGTGGACTGTAGGTCAGGAGGTCTGGGGTCCAGCCTCAACCCAGCTGGTCCCTCTCCATGTCACTGGGGAAGATACGTTTCCCCTCTGGGCCTCAGTTCTCTCATCTGTAAAATGGGGGGACTGGACTGTGTATGCTAAGCATGAGCTTGTACAGCTCTGATGGTCAGGCTGGGCTGCAGTATGGGGGGCGGGGAGGAAGAAAAGGAGGAAGGGCAATATCAGCGTCTCTCTGTGGTGGGGCAGGGCTAGTGATGGCAAAGGGAAGCATGTCCTTGGACAGCATCCACTTTGTCGATGCTGTTCTATTCCTGACTCTTCTTGGCAGCCTCCGTCTGAGGGGTGTGTGGGAGGTGCTGACTGCATTCTTGGTGTCCCAGCAGCTCTGTGATGCCTAGAGGGCTGGCTTTTGGAGAAGCAAGCCTGGGAGATGGCACTGCTGGCGTCCCCTTCTGTTGGCCTGTCTCTGTCTCTTTAATCACAGCTGGCTTTCCCGTCACCATGCTTCTGCCACCATGTGATGCTGGCCTTACTTACGCTTTGGCTAGTCGTTCCTCTGAGCCCCGT